CACATAAAAGTCAATGTTGTTTAGCTGGTGAACGATGTATTGCAAATGTTGGTTGTCGATGTTAATTGACATAAATATGGAAAGCATTTTTTTTTTCAATAAATTTTTAATATAATCTGTAAGAAATTGTGCACAATAAAACATTTTATATTACATAATATTTCTTGAGTATAGCTGTTATTTTCATCGGTCGATAGTCTGAGCACTTTTTCGTGAAAACTGTGAATATGGACTAGAAAGATGAATATTCACGTTTTTGGAAGATAATTATTCGTTGATGTATAACGCAATACATATCTGGCTTTTTCACTCTAATGCACGTAACAGCGATGTCAAACGAACATGTATCAACAGCTAGAAAATCAGAGGATCTTGCTTTGTGCAAATTATAAATTATTAGAGACGACAGTTGAAGTTACTGTTTTTGTTTCTATTGTGTTGATTAAAACAAAAGGCATAGGTGCTCGGTTAATTTTTTCAATTATTTGTAAGTCAGCTTTTATATGCATATCCATATAAGAATGATTCCACATTTCAAGTGAATATTCTTTAGAATACTTGAAACACTCAATTTATTGCTAGCTGTTTTTAACATCTTACCTATATCAGCGAATTTATTCTATCAAATATGATAGATACGATCTCATCAGTTGCATTCATTATTAAAACTGTGTCTCGTTATTGATCACTCAACTTATATGGAAACGATTTGCATAGGTTTTTTCTTCACTTATAACGAATACAAATCTGATGATTGTTGCATCAATTGATGTCTCAGACACTCTATATCTTGCTTTGACATCGATGCATTAAAATCTCTACTAGTTAGCATCTCCTGATTATGAACGATCTCAGATTCACTCGAGCAAAACTTGCTGGAAATGCCTCTCTTTAATGTAAACACTTTTTTGCGATCGCTCTTACTATTATAACCTACTTAAAATGAACATATATGGAATGGTTTACATGCATACAATGAATGCTTCAATAAATATGATTGTTTTGAAACACCGAACGCTACTGAATAAGATGACGATTACCATGATCATATGTCATAAGAATCATCACCAAAAATAGCAGAAGCAATGGAAATTAGATGAAGAGCCCATTCACTAGCAACACAACAAATAAAATAAAATCAACTTCATTTTTTAACAAGCAAAGCATCAACTCTTTAAACTGAACAGCTTAATATAGTGAACCGTTTCCAATGGTCCCGATACTGGTCACAATAGAGAACTAGTTTTGTTTTTAAAACAGATTCCAAGAGTGTATTCTGTATACTTATCTGTGACGAGCTGGAGAAGTAACGTTGCTCATACACTGGATGATGCTGTTTTGTTGAGCTACTTATTCACTCTAATCATATCTATATCACTATGGACACATATATATATTGTACTTACACAGCATAAGTAAAACAAAGTACACGTCGTCAAAGTCGACATTACAACGAAAAAAGTCATGGTGAAACCAAATATTTTTCGGGTCTCCTCAGCAGAAAATAATCTAACAAGAGCAATATAATCTCTAATGAACTTCAAAACATGTTTTGTGACCATGATGTTTATTTGCATCATTTTTTCTTTCATAATTTAATTAAAAAGAAACAGTATGTACATAAAAGGAAGAGTAAATAAGTTGGGAAAATACTGACTAGTAAGTACTATGCAGCCAAATCCATTCATGCATAAACGAAAAAAAAAGACAAGACAGAAAGAAGAGAAAAAGTGAAAAAGAGATAAGCAATTGACGGATTGTCGTCCATGGTCACAACGGTTGGAAATATTGAAATGATTAAAACGATTAAGCAAACATGATTAACTACATAGTTACTTATGAATATAAAAAATGATCACCCTGATCTTTTGTTTTTATTTCAAGTATGTTTTTAAATATCGATGTTTTTTTCTACATTGATGTTTTTTTCGAAGTGAATGCGTTATAATGATAGTTCAATCTGTCTGAACAATAATTCTGCTGATACCGATGACACAATACATATTTGAAGTCAAAAAGATTGAAATTTCTTGAAAATACTGCATGGATTTTTCCCACTCATTCACCTATAAAAAGTGAACATTTTTCAAAATAAAATCAGACGACGATTTTTGATCAGTTAAAACAAGTCTCTCGTTAACAAACTGTTACCGGTGGGATAAGTTACAATTCAATCATTCTTGCAAGACAAAACAGTGACAGCGCTTCAAGTAATTATGTTGAAGTGATTAAATCTTCGAAAGGCAAGTCCAAAATAAACATTGAAGGGTTTTTGTATCACAAAGAAAAAATTCGCGATGATATGTATTATTGGGTTTGCGAACGCAAAACACAAAAGGAAAAGAAATGTACTGCAAGGGCCACTACAGTTTGTATTGGAGACCAGCATCAGATTCACAAATTTGATGCTAAGCAGTACAATTATGCTTCAGAAGCAAGCAAACCTGAAGCTTTGAAAACTTGCATTTAAATGAAGGAGCTGGCTCAAATTAGCAACGATCAACCTGCACAAATCATTAGTAATGCTATTGCTACAACATTACGTGAAATACAACCGTGTTTACCACGAAAAGATGCTTCAAGACAACAAATCAAAAGAACAAAACGTGTTTACGATGAAGAAGTTGAATCAAAAACTTTATACGATTTTACATTACCAGATGAATACTCTATTACACTCAGTGGAATGTATTTTGCAAAAGACATCACCGATGGAACTAAAAGAATTTTGCTTTTCACAACAAGTGAAAATGTTAAATGGCTGCAAGAAGCGAAATTTTGGTTTATGAATGAAACGTTTAAAACTATGCCAACTTTGTTTCGACAATTGTACAGCATTCACGCTCCTGTTAGTGAAAATGTTACTTTTCGAATCATTCCCTTGGTTTACGCACTAATGAGTAAGAAAAGTGAAGAATTATATCAGAGATTATTTCAGGAACTCAATGAATTGGCAGACGAAAATGAATTGGAATTAAAACCAGGCTTTGTATTAACTGATGATGAAAAAGGTTCAATCAATGCAGTAAAATCAGAGTTTCCAAGTGCTCAAAGCAAAGGCTGTCACTTTCATTTAGGCCAATCGGTATACAGACAAATTCAAGATGCAGAACTGACCAAAAACTACGGAACTGACCAAAATTTTAGTCTTCTTATAAGACATATTCCAGCTTTGGCTTTTTTAAGTTCTTTAGAAATTCCCGATTCTTTTGACGAAGTCAAAGTTATATTACCATCTGATGCTGAACGAATTATTCAATGATTTGAAAATAACTATGTACATGGAAGAGTAAAAAGAACATTAAGAAACAGCAGAGTTCAAAGACACAATCCATTATATCCACCAGAAATGTGCTCTGTCTTTGATAACATGGAATTTGCATTTCCAAGAACTCAAAACAAAGTCGAAGTTTGGCATCGATGCTGAGAAATATTAATTGCTCGAGCTCATGTTGGCATTTTCACTATGATTAAACAAATTCAAAAAGAACAAAATGAAGTTGAAATGGAAATTGAAAATTCAATGCGGGGAGAGCCAGCTCCAAAGAAGTGCAAGGAACACGAAAACAGAGAGACCCGAATTCAAAATGTTATTGCTGATCGCGGTAATAGATCAGCTATCGATTTTCTTTTGGGGCATTGTCCATAATCTCTCATTATAAATATTTGTGACTTGTAGTAAAAAGATTTTCTGACGCAATATTTTCAAGAAATTTCAATTTTTTTGACTTCAAATATTTGTCGACCAGATAAGTTATCGGAGAAGTGTACATGTCGGCCAAACAATTTGTCGGCGAAATGATGTCGGCCAAGTGATCCAGACCCCAGTTAATGTATGTAATTAGTTGCTTCAGAATTTTATTGCTATTTGAAAATTTGTTTTTATTTAGGTCGAAAAAGAGGCTGCCGATGAGTATTAAGTTTTGTTACCTACTATCGATCAACTTTTGTTCTTGAGTGCTATTTAACAATTTCAAATTTCAACTGACAATAAAGCATATATCTAAAAAATAATAGAAGTAAATTCAATACGAATAGATCTCTATCATCATGATGATTCAAATCATAGATATCAATTAGAGGATGTAAAGATAAATGTCCTGATTCAACTGAAAAAATGCCTTTTCTAATATTTCATCCAGAAATTTAATTCCTTACAAGTCAGAGATATGCTTCTTGTTACTGTTCGGGAAAGAGTAAATATTTCTACGTCCATTGATATGAAATAAATTGGACTGTATTTTACAATGTTTCTAATTCTTCTGAAGCCATGTAAAACATATCGATCTATGATAGATTAACTCATGAATACTATCTCAACGAAAACAGATCACCATCATTGTTATGTCATTCGAAAACTGTATTCAATCCTAGTTGTACTTTTGTTTTCCTTTGCTTGCCATGCAAACATCTCAAGATGTGTCAATCTCATATGACTTTCTTTCCATAGACAAGAATTTGAATGAGTTATGCAAAAAGTCAAAGTAACTCATGCGCAGAATTCATGAAAATCATACAAATGAGCATACTTGCAGCGATCAACTAGAACACAATATCTTTTTGGCTTGCCTACTACAGTCTTTGTTGTTTCATCTGTAAAATTTTATTATAAGTTAAATGATTTTAAATATAAAGCTAAAGCAAAAAACGAGGCTGCGAATGTAGGTTCTCATTTCATCTACACCCCACATCAGCGCTTCTAATGGAAATCTAAAAAAAACATGACCAGGACACTCTGTTTTTTTGTGGAGAAAGTGTACATCTACACTTGCTGTTCATCATCTAAAGGTACCAAAGTGTACTCAGTCTAATAGTTTCATATAACAATAAGAAATGAAAGAAATGTTCATATCTTATTTGCTACGTAAAAAAATAGATCAATAATACATAAACAAATAAAGAATACGTAGAGAACCAATTTGTAATTATCTGATTCATTGAGAAAGATTTACTACGCAAAAATACAACACTTGAATATTACACGAACATGAGAAGCTACGATTTATTATTTTTCGAAATCCAAAATAACCATAGGTCAATCGAACTTATCATTGGTGTCTTTATCATCATGCATGTCAGCATGATTCGAACAAAACTAAATGAATCTGTTATAATTTTCAATTTTGTTCTGTAGCAATTACATAACTACCTGGAGCGAACTCAACTAGATTTGTAAAGAAAAATAGATAAAAAACCAGAAAAAATAATTACATCTAACGAATTATTGAACAAATCCAACAAGGTCACCACTTATTCATTGTTTAAACAGAATTTTTCAAGTAAAATCAGTTTTCAACATATAAGCAATAAAGCGTATATTTCACTGCAGCGTGTATTTCTACAGGTGCAGATGTCTGTACACGCTAATTCCACTGTGTAGACTTGATATTAAAAACACTGTTACACACTCGCACTACGCATCTTTACATTTTGTTTTTGTTTTCTGAACAGACAGTCTTTACGAATTATCTAATATGCCGAATCAATTATTTCTCCTAATTTCTTTCGTAGTAAATACTTCGTAATAGTTGTTGAAATAGAACTACTATTAGTCATAGTATGCATCTCACTATTAGTACTTGCTGATAGATTCTGCACGTTTAACGATTAACAACTTAGAAAAAAAGTCCTTTAATGTCCAAGCGCATAGAACACACTTGAACAAGAATTCAAAATATAGCTTATTTGATCAATTTATCACTTAAATGTATTTATTGAACCATTAGGATACGCTAGAAGGATTAACAATAAAAAAATATTCTCTTAATGAAGCTTAAAAAATCTGCGGATCTCGAGTCAAAACTCGAAAAAATTCCTAAAAACAGATAAAATTTTCTGATTGAAGACGATTGTATCTACACTTTTAAGATTTTTTTTTAAAGTAAAATTCATAATAAAATATCTCGAATTGTTTGTCAACAAATGAATTACAACTTTTTATGAGTATTAATGAGTGCTATCGATCGGGGAAAATAATGCTTTTTAAGATTGATGAATGCTTTTATGCAGGTTTCTTCTTCTTTTAAAAACGTTTTTTACTTGAAAATTTATTTCGTATTTTGAGGTATTTTCGATACAAATATACTTTAGCAACCAGTCCAATTGTATATCAATGAATAGATTGGATCTTTCTGTGAATGTTATTGATATGTTAATAAAGACCTTTTGACTGTTATTAGGTACATATTGACACACCGGGATAGGTCTTACGTGTTTCCAGCGAAAACTTCCTCAGAAAGAACTATTCAAGGATGGCATATATTTGTGTTACAGTGTAGCTTATTGAGTTCTCTGGGCGTTCGTAAGGACAAGTCGGTGTGTTTGTGTGGAATATAAGTGATTCTGCGTGTTAGGCTGAGGAGGTCATATTTTTTAGTGTTTGCTGACGGTTTTTTTCCTTAGAATTCGTAGAAAATGGCTGTTCTCGGGTGTTTGTGTACAGAACTCTCCGAAATGTGAGTGTTCATAATGGTGAATTATATGCGGTTTTACACAGTTGAATGCTTGTGTTGTTCTCATAAATTACGAATACCCAAACAATAAAATTATTTACAATGTTCCAAAGTCAAATTATCGGCTTCGATTGTATCGTATTGGTCGAATCATAACATTATTAATTACGGAATTCATGCAATGATTGATATAATCCAATGTCAAATAAGGTATGTTACTTGTTTTTTCTAATTGAGAAGAAACATATATAGTTAAATCGAGAAGTCCTAGTGGCCAATAGGACCTCTCAAGATAGTTTTTCGATAAAATAAATATAATATACTCCGGATCGAATAGCTTTTTTCGTTAAATATAGTGAATATGCATTAATTGTAACACATGAGAGTAGAAAAATATTTTTGTTATATTTTAAATTATTTTTCGTTTGTAATAGCTATTCTACGTCATGCATAGGTTCATTGCTCTACCAGTCCGGCGTGGTCCGCTCTACATGTACCCATTTCAGACTTACAAGGAGTTTCTCTGCTCGCGCACGCAGACGAGTTAATGAACGAAGAAAAAAAAAAGAAGGAGGTGAATAGAAGTACGAACCAATTTATTGAGCAAGCAAGAAAAAAAATTTACAGATTCTCTCGAATTTTTTCAAATGTTTCTTTATAGTCCAAAAGATGAGGATGATTTGAAAGTAGCTTTCCTTGAGCGATTTCTACTGCACATTGAACATTTTTCATTGCTATACTATATTGTCGAGTAGCCAAATATACTTTCGCCACATTGTGATAAATTACAGCTAAGTCAGGATGATTTTTTGGTAGTTTCATTTCACGTATTTCTAAACCTTTTCGAAAATATGTCAATGCCGTTGAGTAATCTTTCATTTGTCGATAAGTTTCACCTAAATTTGTATATGTCGTTGCACATTCCAGAGAATTACATTGCACATTTTCTTGAATATTTAACGCTTTTTGATGAAATGAAAGTGCCTTTTCATAATCTCGCATTAATCGATAAACATCACCAATATTACTGTATGTAAGAGCCTGAAAGGGATGTCCTTCAGGTAACGTTTTAAGATCTATTGCCAGGCATTTTTCAAAATAATCAAGTGCCTTCGAGTAATTTTGCATATCGCGATAAACTCTTCCAAACCAACTGTATGTAGAAGCAAAAGCTGGATTACCTTCTTGAAATGCTTTTTGTTGAATTCGAAAGCCGCTATAAAGAGCCTCAAGAGCTGTGATATAATCGCCCATTTTTTCGTAACACGTTGCAAAATTCAAGTGACTACCAGCCAATGAAGGATGTATTGGAGGCAGATTTTTTTCGTATATTTTATGAGCTCTTGTGTAAAATTGAAGTGCTTTCGAGTAGTCACCCATGTTGCTATACGCTTGGCCAATATTTTCGTAGCATATAGCAGAATCGGGATGATTCGAAGGCAGAGCTTTCTCGAAAAGTTGGCGTCCTTTTTCGTAAAACTCGAGCGCTTTCAAGTACTCACCCATGACGTTATAAACTGAACCAATGTTGTTGTACGTAGGAGCCAATGAAAAATCATCTTCAGGGAAAGTTTTTCGTTCTATTTTCAAATCTTTTTTGTAAAACTCAAGTGCTTTCTGGTAGTCACCCATGTTGTTATACACTCCACCGATGTTATTGTAGCAGCTAGCCAACGAGAGATGATTCGGTGGTACAGTATTTTCGTAGATTTTGTGAGCTTTTTCATAAAATTCAAGTGCTTTCGAATAGTCACCGATGTCGTTATATACTCCACCAATATTGCTGTACGAAGAAGCTAAATTGGGATGACTCGAAGGAAGAGTGCTTTCTCTTATTTTAAGTGATTTTTTGTAATACTCAAGCGCCTTTGAGTAGTCACCGATAGCGATATAGACTGAACCGATGTTGTTGTACGTAGTATCCAATAAATGATGATCTTCGGAAAGAGTTTTCAGTTCTATTTTCAAACCTTTTTCGTAAAACTCAAGTGCTTTCGAGTAGTCACCCATTTTTTTATGCACTCCACCGATGTTGTTGTAGAAGGTAGCCGAATCTGGATGATTCGAAGGCAAAATCGTCTCGTAAATCTTATGTGCTTCTTCATAAAACTCAAGTGCTTTCGAATAGTCACCTATGTCGCTGTACACTCCACCGATGCTGCAGTAGGAAATAGCCAAATGAGGATAATTCAGAGGCACAGTGTTTTCTCTAATTGTGAGTGATTTTTTATAAAATACACGTGCTTTTGAGTAATCACCCATGCCACAATATGCAAGACCAATGTTATTGTAGGACGTAGCCAATAAGGGGTGATTATGAGGTAGAGCTTCTTTGTAGATTTGATGTGCCTTTTTGTAAAAGTTTAAGGCTTTCGTATAGTCACCTATGTTGTTCTTCACGCCACCAATGTTGCTGTAGGAGGAAGCCAACGAGGGATGATTCGGAGGCAGGGCATTTTCGTAGATTTGATGTGCTCTTTCGTAAAACTGAAGTGCTTTCGAGTAATCCCCGATGTCATTACACACTGCACCAATGCTGCAGTAAGAAGCAGCCAAATGGGGATGATTCGGAGGCAAAGCATTTTGTCTTATTGTAAGTGACTTTTCGTAAAATATACGTGCTTTTGAGTAGTCGCCTATATGTTTATACGTCATGCCGACGTTGTTGTAGGAAGTAGCCAAATGGGGATGATTCGGAGGCAGAGTTTTTTCATAGATTTGATATGCTTTTTCGTAAAACTCAAGTGCTTTCCAGTAATCACCGATACCGGAATATGCAAGACCGATGTTGTTGTAAGAAGTAGCTAATGAAGGGTGATTTGAAGGTAGAACTTCTTCGTATATTTTATGTGCTTTCTCGTAAAATTTAAGGGCTTTCAGATATTCACCCATATCGTTATACACTTCGCCGATATTGCTGTAGGAAGCAGCCAATGAAGGATGATTTGAAGGTAGACTGTTTTCTTTAATTTCATGTGCTTTTTCGTAAAATTGAAGTGCTTTCAAGTAGTCAGCCATGTCGCTATACACACCACCGATGTTGCTATAGGAGGTAGCTAAAGAAGGATGATTTGAAGGTAGAGTATATTCGTAGATTTTGTGTGCTTTGTCGTAAAACTGAAGTGCTTTTGGGTAGTTACCCGTGTTTTGATACACTCCACCAATGTTGCCGTAGGAAGTAGCCAATGAAGGATGATTTGGAGGTAGAGTGTTCTCGTAAATTTGATGTGCCTTCTCGTGACACTTAAGAGCTTTCGAATAGTCACCTATGTTGTTATACACTCCACCAATGTTGCTGTAGGAAGTAGCCAACGCAGGATGATTGTGAGGCAGAGCTTCTTCGTAGATTTTATGTGCTTTTTTGTAAAATTTAAGGGCTGTCGAGTAGTCACCCATGTCGTTATGCACTCCAGCGATATTGCTATGTGAAGTAGCCAAAGAAGGATGATTAGGAGGCAGAGCATTTTGTTTAATTTCATGTGCTTTTTCGTAAAACTCAAGTGCTTTTGAGTAGTTAGCCACATCGCTATACACCGCACCGATGTTGGTGTAGGAGATAGCCAATGAGGAATGATTTGTAGGCAGAGTATTTTGGTAGATTTGATGTGCCTTTTCGTAAAATTCTAGTGCTCTTGAGTAGTTACCGATGTTTTGATACACTCCAGCGATGTTGTCGTAAGAAAGAGCCAAGTCAAGTTCATGGGGAGATGGAGCTTTTTTTTTCATTTCAATTGCTTTTTCGTAAAATTGAAGGGCTTTCGAGTAATCACGCATGTAGTAATACGAGAGACCGACATTATTATAGCTGTTTGCCAATAAAGAATGATCTACTGGAAGAGTTTTGCGGTAAATTTTAATTGAGTTTTTATAAAATGAAGTTGCTTCTTGGTATCTTCCTTGGTCACTTTTCAACCATCCAAGCTGGTTATAGATATATGCTTTTTCACTGTCACTTGAAGTGTTTTTGAGTAAGTGATTGTAGATTTCTTCAGCTTGATTGAAGTGACCCACTTTGAGCATTAATTTACCCATTCGATACCATCCGAAGCCGTCGACCTCTTCGCGTATGTGAGTTGTGAGAGCCGCAAGTTGTGAATCATTGTCGTCTGTGAGGGTTAGTCGAACCTCCCATAGACGACTATTGTTGGCCGACTGCTTGATCTCACCGACACGAAATACCGTGTGCATTGAAAAGAGAATTTCGTTTTCTTGTGGAATAGCACTGTCTTTGTTGATAAGAGCAAATGGAGTACTTGAAGTCGTCACTGTCTTTGGATCGATCGTCATAATGAAAAGAACACCCGCTATGTCTTTATCTTTGTACAGTGCACGTTCAACAAACCGCATGGCTACCTGCTGTTTTGTACTAGTTGACAAGAAGTTGTTAAACGAGAGAAATCCACCTCTCGCATTGACTAAATGTTGAAAGTCCTGTTCGATGAGTACCTGACCACGATAAACGACAAATTGTTTTCTATATGCACTCGACTGTTTTTTGTGCAGTTCTTCTAATTGTTGTTGAAGATTGTGAATGAAAAAGCTCACTTTGGTCATGGTCTCCATATCGAGTGACCGCAGGGCGTAGTTAAGCATACTGTGCAAAAATATTTCACAAGTGTACCACCAGACTGGTGTTTTCTGGTGATATTCATGCTGAAAGTGCTCCAATAGTGATTCAGGAATGCCTTTGTTACGACAGTAGGTCACTAGATCTTCCACCGACTTAACATCATCTTCATCGATTTCCGATAGGATTTCTTTGAATAGTACCGAATACATGTAGGATGGTTCCAGTTGGTCGAGATTTTGTTGATCCGATGCTGCTGCTGTTAAAATCTGCTCCGGAATGAAGCTAATTGGTATTGCGTTATGGTCGCATTCGCGGGTGACCTTTTCTAATGACTCACATATTGACTGGATTGAAGTGAAAACACCTTCAATTTTTGGCCATTCTTTTGTCCATTGTTCATGTAACGCTTCGTTGTTACAAAAGATGTAAATGGCATCCAATTGTGCCATGTCATGAATATGTGGCACGAGATGTTGACCGAAAGCTTCTGAAGAGATGACGAAAGCTTTCTCGTTATCGATATCCTTGAGAACTTGAATGCATTGTGCCGATGTCGTGCAAAGATTGATTTCATTGACGACACTGTGCAATTGTGTGAGCATATTTTGACAGTCCTGATCTGCTTGATTGATATTACCATCGACCCAAATGAGCAAATAATTTTGAATCATACGCCGCCTTGGAACGATGGTATCTGATGATGCTGTTGAAATTGCAACAGCACCCATTGTTGATGTGGAAATTTTTTGCTTGATTTTTTTTTCAACCATATTTAGTATGAATTGTTGCTCTATCGTTAATCTAGAATGATGAATAATTTTTTATCATCAAGACAGACAACACCTTTTTCTATCTATAAAATCAGCGCCTTCTTTTTTCTAGATTTTTCTGCATTGTCAAATATGGATGTTTTTTTTCTGACACTTACTGATAAGCTCCAGCTAATTTAAATTAAAAATATGGCCATGAATAACAAACAAGATAGTAAAAATTCTGCAACATCATTCATTGTATTGCAATTCTTTTCAGTTTTTCTTTGATTTTCATCTCCACTATGAATTCAGTGTCATTGCGCTGGATAGGATGTGGGTGTGAACGTGGATGTCGATATGCATAAAGAGAAGATACGTAGCAACATTCGCATCGACAGTCACATCCTACTATTGTAAAAGATATGATGATGTTTATTTTCGAAACGAGTAATAAAGTTGACTCTTTTCGGCATATTGAATATTCGAGTTGAATATTTGTACTTAGATTTCTTCAGGAAAGCTTTTGACGCACACCTAGCGTAGAATTGTATGGTAAATCTTTTCAAAAACAAGCCTCTCTTGTTAGGAAGAAAACTGAAGGAGCTCTAGTGAATATACTGAAAAAGCCATTTTTTCTGTCGCATCTGTTACATGGCAATCATTGAGCATTGTCGCATAGCATAGATCAATTTGTAAATAATGCATAGCTGTGATACAAAAAATGAAACATTAAAGACTTCTCTCCCGAAATATCATTCACATAAATGTGTTAGAACAGTCGATACCTCTAAAAGCTTCAACTAAAAAAGAAATCGAAGGTATCTGATGGCGTTTATATCACTACCTTGGTTGATTTACAGTACGGCAATGACTCATAAACGAAGTCGAATTCTTTGAATTTTATCTGTCTAAATGCTTTTTCTTCTGAGATCGTTTTTACTCGGGTTAATTCTCAAGAGGTTTCTCTAGAAAAATATGCATGTCATTCGATGAAATTTATCTGATCGTTTCAATCTTTGACTGCTACTCAAATAGAACAATAAATAAACTATCTTGTT